TCTCCTAGGAGACCACAATTACTTGTTATCAAAGCTATTGTAAATTTTGACGGCAACAGCTGTCAAGTTTTGCCGCAAAATTGCCCGTTTGTGATTGGTAGAAATTAAGACGAGGAAATAGTCAGACCAACCTCAGCTAAGTGCGATTTACATTATACGATTATACGAACATTCCGACAATAAATTTAAGTTCATATTCCTGAGAATGTGGTGTGGTTGGAACTGAGTAATTGAAACCGTTCGTTAGACGATTAACTAATTTATTAGGTGAAAGCGATTTGAGAAAAACTTACGTTTCTCAATTCGTTTCCGGAGAAAGACGAAAATAAATAAATTTTTTCCCTAAGAAAATACTATTTTTTTACTAACTTCATTTCAAATCAGATTTCAGATACATTAACATTGCTTTTTTCTGCTATACAAAGTAGCGTGATTAGAATTTCAAGATTACATTTCATGTTTTGTTCTTAGTCGTCAACTTGATTCTTATAAATACGCCAGAGTCTTTACGAGTGTGTATTTGAGTACGATAGTAGCTAATATGTCCTCGAGTATGTGTGCTCAATGTGAGGACAATTTCATCGTAAATACGAAATATGTGGAGTGTGACTACTGTCTAAAAAGGTATCATAATTTTAGTGCTAAGGTGAAGGATACTTTACTAGTAGTGACTGTGGTAAAATCAAAGCTAAAAAAGGAAGACTGTGATAATGAATATATAAATCTACTGTTATTAGAGAAAACAACCAAACTAGTTGAATTGCTTGAAAACAAAAATGTAACATCCAGTGGGGGAAAAGTGGTCAGATATTGTTAAGAAAAATTTATATAAAGTCAAACCATTAATTATTACCAAAAGATGAGAACCAAAACAGTCGCATCACAAAAGATGTTTTGTCTAAAAAAGTTAATCCTGCAAAAATAGATGTTCCACTCGCTAACATTAAGCAGATGTTAAAAGGATGCGTAATAATTCAATGTGAAGATGAAAAATCGTTGGAAAAACTGAGAAATAAGGCACTGGCGGAAATGAGTGAGGATTATGGTATAAAGGTGGTGAATCTAGTAAAAAAGAACATCAAAATAGTAAATGTAAGATGATCTTTAAGATGAACAGAATTTTATTTTTTAACTGCAGTCCCAAAATATACCTGAAGAAATCCGTAGCATCGAAATTAGGCAGCTGTGAAAATACAAATCAACTATAGGTCGTAACAAACTATGTAACGTTCTCATTGAGCTATCAAATAAAGAACATGGCTATATTATGTACAAAAAACTTATCTGTATATTGGATGGAGTAGCTACAGATTCTCTGATTTTACCAGCGTGCTGCGCTGTTATAATTGTTGGAGGTATCGACATAAACCTGAAAAATGCAAATCTGAATTGGCATGTCCACTATGCGCTCAAAAATATAGCAAAGAAGGATGTCAAACGGAAATCCATTCTTGTACGAATTGTTTGTATGCACATAATGTCCTAAAAGCTCCTGGCGTCAAGTATGATCACCACGTATTTGATGTCATTTGTCCGTCATATTTAAGGTAGATAGCAAGGAATAAAGATTGTTTTAGATATTCAAAGTATCAATTATTAGAAACAATAAGCAGCAATTCCGTTATGACCATAAATATTCAGGGACTAGCAAAGATTGCTTTAATCTTAAGCAAATATTAATATAAAAGTCACCTTTAGTTACAGTAACTATTGAAACGCATGTAAATGAAGATATGGAAGAGAAATGAGACATAGGCGGATACCAAGGCGTAGTAACCCACTTCAATAGACGGCATACAGGAGAAGTTATTATGTATATCAAATACGGAGTGAAATTTGAAGTGCTGGAGCAAGTTGCAAGGTGCCTTGGTGAAGACAAATATTCGTAACAAATTTTAAGGTTTTTTGTGATAGATAGATCACCAAATGGAAATAAACTGGAATTTGGAACTCTTTTTGAAAATCTATTGTAAGCCAAAATAATTCTATGTTAGTTGGAAAATTCATAAATTTACTGCATGATGATACTCTAAAAGATTATTACGCACATCAGAAGCTGGGTTTGAACCGATAGTTCATGCAGCCACCAGATGTATCGATACATCCAAAACACTAATAGATCTCATATTTACTAACGTTCATGACATTGTGGAAAATGATAGAAATCTGTCAAATTTCACTGATAGACATACCAGGTATAGATATTTCTAGGTCCATTCAAGATACAATAACGGTTATAAAAAAGCGAAATGTATGTTGTGACAATATAGATAAAATCAAAATGAAGCTCATTGAATGTAACTGGAAGTATGGATTTCCATATGTCGATTCCTTATATAATTGCTTTATTGACAATGGGAATAAAAGTATTCACGAAATTGCACCTTTAGGGCCAATTTCACCAACAAAAGTCCGTTATTTTCCACCTATAGGGTAACAGACCGTCAAATACAACGAATGACGTTCAAGTTCCAATCAACAAATTTTAGCAACCAATAGCTATGAAATGTTGAAAACAAAATACAGTCAAAGTATGAGATGACAGCTTGTCATTGAAACATCACCAGCTTATTTAATATTAAGAAACTACATATAATTCAGTCAAAATTTAAAGAAATGTTGGATTTTTGAATAAAATTCATGTTTTAATTACTATTGTTGATTTTTATTCATGTTTATATTATTTTCTTCAACTGATATGCGATACTGGGTGTTTTTTCCTATATACCTCTTGCAGATAGCCATTAAGCACGTACTTGATGACAGGTTCTACCAAAAGATATTGCTCGTTTCCAAACATTCATTCATTTACTTTCCGTTCATCAGGACGATTATGGGATCTTAGATTGATATTCCCACAAACCCATTCAGGTTTTTTGATATCCATACATCCATAAAGTTGAATATTTTTCGTTGTTCAGGAACTGATCAAACATCCACACTATATTCACAGCGATTAAGAAATTCCCAAATATATGCCTTAAAGCTACCAGGAAACCTAAAACCTGCAAAAAAAACTACAAATTTGCCATATTTTTTTTTTCACAAGTACACATTCTAGGTTCTATTTATATCAGACATTATTTGAATACAGTTGATTATTGCATTTCAAGGAGTGACACATTTGTGGGATCTGCCAACTCTTGGTACCAGTCACAAAACATTATACTCTGAAGGTTTAATTCCATGCTATTCAATGACAACACCGTGACTTGTGTGGTTCTCAGCGGCCATTTTGTAAGGGTGCGACAGGGTTGCCAGATTTTGCATTAATATACCGTTTCACCCTCCTGGTCCCAGTGGAGTAAGTTCCGCCAACTGTTGAAATATACTCTACTATGCTTTATAAGACTATTCGTGACATTTTTCCCAAAATCATTGCACAACACTTGAAAAACTGCAAATGAAAATTTAAAACTATTTCCCTGACGCCGCAAAATAGCTCCGTCGGTACCTTGGGTTATACATCTTGACAGTAGGGATGTTCGATACGATCCTATATCTAGAAGTATCAATATATTTCACGAATATCGTCATCTTTCGATCCGGACTGTGTCAGAAAGAGTGACTGCCATTTGGCTGCGACATTACCCTGCCAAATCAGATATATCCTTCATCATTTTCAAAGAAATTGTACAAAATCTTCAAATTTGTGAAGTTAGCGAGTTTCACTTCATACGTTGTTACAAGACATGTCCAAATCATCAGTTGCTGCCGTGATATTCATCCCGACCACTGCATCCCCACGGCTAGGCGGCCTGTATGTTGAATTTGTATTGATAGGATAGCGGGTTATACTAAAAATCATATGCCACAGTGTTTGTACACTGATTGCAACGGTTAGATGATACCATAAATATTTTCATAAATGGGAGGTCTTTCCCATTCCGGATCGAGCAATCTATCAAAGATGCTTATAATCATGATACCTAGTAAATTTTCACAAAAAATTCAAAACCAGCAAATGTAAAAGATGCATTTCGCACCCTCCACCACGTGACGTGATCGTCGTTAGACTTGGCACCCCTGCGAGTGACAGATAGATGTCCCCGCCAGTCAAAAAAAGACAAACAATAAATATTACTAGTTTTTATGATTTTTGGACTTAAAAGGCATTATTTGTGAAACATTTTTCATAATTTTTTGTCTATGTCCATAGTAATTGCATTATGCATCAGGGAGTGTTGGGTTTAACACGTCTTACGCATATTATCTGTGTTTTAGGATGGAGAGGACATAATGTGTTTATTGCTTTGAAGAAATTCATTAACCCATAAATTAATAAACGATTACTATTATGACGTAAAGGAAGATGAGGAATTGCAAAATACAGACAAATCCACACTATTCAACGGGTATGTAATGATAACATTCAGTATATTGAAGTTGGTAAATTCGAGAGTGTCATGCATTAACAAACTTCCAAATTTGCTGCCAAATATAAAAGCTAGAAAATCGACCTATTATTTGCCGCACTCCCATTCGCTGAGGGGGATAACGGATTATTAAATGTAAACCTATAACATATATCAAAATACATGAAAGTTGTCCTGTTCTTTATGTACAAAAGCATCATGATGGTCTTGTTTATAATACAGTCGAATTTTCACGATTTTATTCAATATTTCAATAGAAATCACTAATATTCAGAGATCTTTGGCAGTTGCTGTCAAATTGCATTTCGATAAGCTATTTTCCCATTGGCCCATAATATTAATGTTGGTGAAATTGGGTCTTAGAACAACAAAGTACATATTACCAGTCATGGATTGATTAAGAGGTCAAAAGAGCACAAAGGGAAAGAGACGCACAATACCAGATTTTCAAATTTACCAACCTTCGAAAAATATATAGAAAAATGCAACAAAGTTGTTGCTCTTACAATATCAAAGCAAAAGCAGTATTACAATGAAAAGATTGGCAAATGCAAAGGAACCAGCAAACAAGTGTGGAGAACCTTGAAAGATCTCGTTAATAACAAAGATGTACACATTGACTATATGAATAGGTTGATCAATTATTTTATCAAGAATGACATAGTAGGCACCATACCTTTGAGTAATGAGGAAGCTATAACGGCAGCAGTGCCTTTAGAAGAGGAACTTTGGAGATTTCAAGAAACTTCTCTGAATAGGCTACTAAAAACTGATTTTCAATTGAAGAAAAAATCTACGGGTAGTGAAGTACTTACCTGCAGTTTGGTGAAGGAACTGTTTGATGTCATTGGCTACTTCGTTTTGAATATTGTAGTTACAACGCTCAGAACAGGAAAGACGCCTGCATTGTTGAAGAGGAGCATTATAGTCCCAGTAGCCCAAAACAAATAATCCACGTAAGCCAGAAGACTTGTGACCCATCGATCTAATGTCTGTCGTCCAGAAAATTATAGAAATAACAGTGCATGAACAGCTGAGTGAGCATCTATGTGTGATCGGGGTTCTTTTTGAGCGGCAATCAGGGTTCAGAAGGAATCATTCTTGTGAAACTGCATGCCAATTTCTATGTACAAAGTGGAAAAAAGATGTAGATGATGGTAAAGTGATCGTGTGTGTGTTGGTTGACCTATAAGGAGTGTTTGAAACTATTGACAGAAAATTGTTGTTAAGAAAATGTGAATTGTATGGAATTAAGGGTACAGCCCTCTTGGGGGTGGGTAATTACTTACCTGAGCGATTACAAGTGGTACAAGGCAGCGTACTAGTCCTATTCTATTGCTGTTTATCATATGTCAATGATATGTCCAATGTCCTTAGCAATTCTTTTATAAATTTGTTTGGGGATGATACATTAATCTCAGTTAGTGATTCAGTAAGTAACGAAATTGTAGATGTAATAAATAGTGGAATTAGCAAACTTATTTTATGGTTAAAAATAAATAAGATTGAATTAAATGTGAAAAAAACGAAATGTATTCGTTGGAAAAATAATTGCAAGAAATTGGTAGATTTAAATATGCCAGTGAAAATTGAGGGTCAGGTACTTGATTTTGTAGATAGTTTTAAAATATTCAGGTATTTTAATAGATCAGCAACTAACTTTTCATATACAAAGATTTAAATTTAAAGGTTTAGAAAATTCAATGTTTGTTGAAGGTCTAAAAATGTACGTACAACCATCAAGTAATGCTACAATTTTCAAAAAGAGACTTCGGAGACACTATTTTAGTTTGTTGTGCGTGTTTGTAAATTTAACATATTTTTTGTAAATAATATTATTGTTTGAAGGAGCTTAAAGCTAAATAAATAATTTCTATTCTATTCTGTATTTGATCTTTGCATAGGTGAATAGTTTTTATTCCTGATTTCAGAAACGTATAATATGCCATACAGTGACATTGCAAAGCCTTAGTAACTTCAAAGAAATCAAATTTCATAGGTATAACTTGAAATTATTATTATCATTTGTGTCATAATATCACCAGCCAAAAGTTCTATTTCGAACTCCCATTGTCTATTCTGTTTCAGAGATCGATTGATGTAGTTCAACTTTTGAAACATCCATATTGTCTACAAATTTCAAATACCCTCAGCCAAGTAGTTCTTCAGTGTATAAGAACTAGGCATAACTAAATAGTTCTTACTTCCGATTTCAATGATGTGATATTTAACGAAAAGTATACAGTTGGTCTTATCGAATAAAGAGCTGCTAAAAACTTTCAATATTATTTTCAAGCTTCAACGATGCCTACAGCTAAAGTAGGGTAGTGCAAAATCCTGAGCAACTTGCTGTTTAGAAGCCGGTGGGTACAGGGTAATTTTTTTAGTTTCATTTGATTTTTCGGCAGCTGATGTTAGAATACGCTTCTCAAATACGGAAGTGATCTTTGATTGGTGATGTAATCTAATATACATGTGATAAGCAATCATTTTTATGATCAACCATGAAAATATTAATCTCGTTGAAAAAACTATGGTTTGGCGACGTAAGTGTTTGATGTATTATAACATTTCTGGAATCAGAATTGAAAATTCTATTTATCTGAGTAAAAATATAACATGGTGACCATAAGAGAAGACTAAAGTTGGATATTGAGAGCAAGATACTAGACATCAGCAGGAAGTAAGGAACGGGAAAAAACGATTTTCGGAAAACTCGTTCTTTTCTCCAGAAATTTTGTTAAGTGCAATTTTCTAACTTAACTAAACGTGCAAATTTGGACCAATTTAACCGATTTCCTAGACTACAGGAGCTCACTGTTATGTTGCTTGACGGTTGTGATAAGTCAGTAGTGCCATATTCATACAGAAACAGGATCTACATCATTTGTTACAAATGCATTTTCCTTCATGTAATTACGCACACTTGATACGATAAGGCTGAGGCTCGGCACACGTTTCTAGTGCAGTAGCAGCCATTTTTGCCGGCTGTAAAAAGGCTTTTCTCTCCAACCATCACAAACATTGCAGCCAGTGGTGCTTCAACGCTTCACTGTGAGCTTTCACGGGTGTTTCCATCCGCATGCTAAGATGCAGTGCACAAAAGGCCCTTCAACGGCTTAACGTGCCGGAATATTACGAGACGTTTGCGGTGGAAGCGGCAGGCTTTTTTCGTTTCTTTCACTCCAAGAGGAAAAATTACCATTATGGAAAAATATGCTCATCTCAGCTATGTTAATGCTCACATTGCATGGACATCTTCTACACGGGAAAACTGGGTAATACTTTCTTATAGAAAACTCATTGTTTCTTGAGACCTACCGCTCGATTTTGTAGAGAATTGTAGACTCCAGTCTATCAGCATCACGTCTGAACCTCAATACGGAGAGACGTAAGCATTTATTCACAGGGTCTTCAAAAATGTGAAAAATAATCCATTAGTGATCTGAAACGTGCCTTGACTATGACCTTCAAGGTAATTTGGGGGTCGACATTTTTATAGATAGATACCGGAAATAAGAAGGGTAAGAAACTTTATGTTCCCGTACGTCCATAACCTTGACTATGAAGATCAAATGAATGTTTAACGGAAAACATCTACTTTTAATTCCTGAAGTGTAAATTGCGTACATTTTTAAGTTCATATCCTTGCCAATGAAACCTGCCCACGACTTTCCAAAGTGATTTTAAGATCAGATGAATCTTCAAATATGCTTCTTACTTTTCGTCGAGCATATAAAACAGCAAAATGGCGTTACACTGAAATTAATTTATTATTGCGTTAAAATGTTGCAAATCTTTCGCCGAAACCAATCTTTTCAACACTAATGCAGAACGAATGATTTATACTTACACGACTTCTACGCGAGCGGATTCGCGAGTTTAGTCTAGTAATCATATAAGAAGAGAGTAATATTCAATTTGATCATTGCAAAAGATAATGAAAACTATTATATTAGGCTTCTTTCTAAGTTAGGTACATTTTTAGATACTCTATAAGCAGCCACTAATGTCACATGCGCCGTTATATATGACTCAGTTTACTGGCTGCACGGACTGTTTATGTCCTAATTCCGAAAAACAATAAAAAAATATGCCCCAGTTTAAACGCGGAGAATTATCAGGTATCTAAAGGAGTATATAACTACCAAGTGACGAAATGCAAATCGCAGTCGTTTAGCTGCGATATTTAAGAATGGCCGGCAAGTTGGAAGACGGTCATTCAATAAGCCTTCGTAACCAGTGGACCGATTTTAACTTTTCAAAGCTCCGTTCACTCATGTTTAGGAACAAACATATTTTATGGTTACACAATTTTTGAGTGGTCTTGTAGTTATTCAGATATACCAAGGTCTCTAATTTTTATCACTTTGTGCAAATACTACTTTAAACGGGAGAATTGTCCATTTTTTGTAGAGTGAAAACCAATTTCAAAGATTTAAAAGTATTGTACTAAATAAGTAAAAACTTATACGAGCCCTCATTTTTGAATGCGGGGAATTAGCTGGCAGCTACAGGAGTATATAAAAAATAGGTCACGTGATGCAAGTCGTGGTTGTTTGGTTGCCATATTTGAAAATCACTTCTTTTATTCATCTTTCAAAACCTCATCATCATTTGCATTGTCCTGAACGTTTGGTGATGATGATGTAATTGGTTTGCTTCTTGTGGAAAAAAACACGAAAGGAACTAATTCTAAATCCGACCAAGTTGGAACGACGGTCGTTGTACCGTTCCTCCATAGGTGATGCTCAGCAAGTAGCTGCGGAATTGGCTAGCAACTATTTTGTACAGAAGTTGATATTAAATCGATTTTTTAAGTACTACTACTGTGGTTTGTTATTTACCATCGGAAAATTGAATTGCGCTGATGAAACCTAGGCTATGGCCGACACATGCAAAGATAGTTGACAAAAGTTTATTTTTAGACTGGATTTTGTGAAATGGGAAAGTCGTATATATCACTACAGACACGTTCATATAACACGTCATCAGTGAAACTAAAGATAAATCAGATGCGCTTAGAGTATAGCATAGCACACACTGCTGAAATCGGTAAGCTTTTATCTTCCGTTGACCGCCAAAATCCTGTGTAATTTCCCCCAGAAAATGTGGCATGTGCTTGGCTCAGCGAACACAGGGTGATTCATTATGATGTTATATGTAATTAGCTTCATTTTGATGTCGACAGAAAGGAAACCCCACTACCCTTCATCACTTATTAAAAGTAAGCTTATCCCATGCATGTATACAGACCTTACCCTGGGATCAGAAGTGGGACGCAAAATCGGAATTCAGAGAAGCTAACCTACAGACCTTGATCGAAATGTGCTTGAGATACTGCACAAAAATGTCTGTACAGAGTGGAACTTCCCATGCACCTAGACAAAAAGAATTTATCGATTCGTGCATATCGTGTATGACGGCACCCTGGAAATAAAATGAGTACCAAGAAGATGTTCTGACACAAAATGTGAATTTATGTATAAAAGAAATTGTATTTCACGGCCTCAGACCAAGAGCCGTGATGGATTTTGACAAAAAAGGTGTCGTTGGGTTCAACTTAGCAATTCACTGACAATATAAAAATTTTAGGATGACAAAATGGCGGATTTAGATAATAAAAATCAAATACAAACCAAGATCTACCATAAGATTCCTATTTCACAGGTTACAGCTTAAGCGGCTCGGGGTATTTTGACATATATGTTGTTGGATTCGTCTTAACATTACGAGTGACATTGGCTATGTTAAAATTTCGTAAACACAAAATATCAGATTTCAATAGAAAAAATCGACCTTGAAATTCCTATTTCACGGGCCACGTCTTAAACGGCTTGATGGATTTTGATATAGATGTCATGTTGTTGGATTCATCTTAGCGGTGTCAGTGACACTGACTATATTCAAATCGCATAAAAGCAAAATAGCGGGTTTTGACAAATAAATGGTAGAAATTTAGTATAATCTCTAAGTTATTTCTGATGCAATTGTACTCGCCT